CAACTGCTTTGATGTCCTCCAAACTTCCATGTTAAGCAGCCCGACTTTGCCACGCTTGCGCTTAAGCTTCCAGTCCAGCTACATGTAATTATTGTAAATTTCAGCTTGATCTTATAGTATGTACTTTTGACACTTCTCTCCTTACTAAGCAGTGTTTTCTTCTGTAAATACGGCTTTCGTAGTATATAGACTAGTTATAATAATTGTGTTACCTCCCCCCAACCCTATTTTCTCCCAATCCAGCCACGCTAACCGGCCGAAAATATAATTCTACTTAAACTTACAACATTGCATTTCCAGATGGCTTTAGTTACGTGTTTCTACGTATCCATTTTTATCACATTTCCCTTGCTATTTTCATTATCCACTGAAATGAAATTTAACGTGTTCCATTCCATTGTTTTTGCCTAGAAATTCTTCTAGGAGTAAACACTTTTCTAATAATCTTCACCACGCCTTCTTTCCTTTCTCATGGCATTCCTTTCACTGTTTACTTAATCACCAAGACTGTTTTCCCCAAGCTCATTTCAAAGTTCAGCCTCTGAGACTCGCTCACCCCCACTCACCATATACGTTTCACTATTGCGTGTGTCCAGGTGTTGTTGCCCCCCTTCCCCCCCGCCCATCCTGTGACACCGGTGTTTCAAATGGTCATATGGCAGGTATCTCAGTCTCTCAGCGTCCCTGACCGAGGCCTGACGTTGATTCCTCGTCCACGCTTTTCCATGTGCTAACTTCTTTTCTTCCCCCTCGCTTCCCCTTAATGAGCCCCTACTAGGTCTGCCTGTCCCTGCAATGAGTCCGCAAATGGTTTGGTTTCAATATTTTCCATAATGTCTCTTGTGATGCAGTTATTGCAGTGCATCAGATTGAGAATCGTAAAAGAAGTGTGACATAGTCTTAACAGAGGTATTGCAGAACACATGTTTTAACTAGTCATTATACGTTAAGGCAATAAAAATAATGCATTTGAGAAGAGTTTCCAAAACTAAAGATGCACCTCACGTGGCGGTGCGAGCCACAGCGGACCTCTCATTCTCTCGCTCTTAACTGACCTTAATCTCAGAACCCTCGCGGAAGAAAGTTTTTCCTTTTCCTTTATCTCTTTCCTTTGGCTTCCTCTTTCGTTGCTAAATCTATTTACCTTTTTTCTTGACCAATGCGTCTTCGATTCAATCCTTCTCAATTTCTCTGATGATCTTTCTTGTTCCGTTACTCCTCCACAATTTTTAGATGATCTCCCTCTTTCTAAATAAATATTTTCCGTTGCGTTTCTTCTTTTTTTTTTTTTCTTCGTCGTCTTCTTTTCCTCTTCCTAATCCTTCTTAATCTACTCTGCTTCCTCGTCGGCATCCACTTCATCCTCTACCACGTCCACGCCCACCGGACTTTCGCTCTCCGCCTACACCATGCCTTCACTTTACTCTCCTCCCCCCCCCCCCCCGCCCATCTCCGTCATCTCCTCCACGAACCTCCTGCTCCTCCGACTCTCCTTGCTTTCTCCCCCCCCCCCCCCCCCCCGCCGTCACTTCGTCCCACCTAAGGCCTCCCCTACCTCGCTCTCTTCCGCTTCCCTGTTTCCTCCCGTTCTTCTTCAGCCTGGCGTCTTCCTATCTCTCTTCCTTCTGCTCTTCCCCCTACCTGACTATTCCTTTATTTTCTCCTTCAACTTCACTCTATTCTTCTGGTCCTTGCACTCTTTACTTCCCTCCTCCTCCTGCTCTTGACATTTCATTTCTCTTTACCCTCCTGCCTGACTATTTCTTCATTTACACCTCCTCCTTTTATTATTATTATTATTATTATTATTATTATTATTATTATTATTATTATCATTATTGTTATCATTATTATTATTATTATTATTATTATCATTGGCTCTCCTCTTCTTCCTTCTCCTTTTCTTATTTTTATTCTTAGCCCTCTTCTTCCTCCTCCTTCTCCTATTATTATTATTATTATTAGCCCTCCTATTCCTCCTGTTCTTATTCTTATTCTTAGCCCTTCTTTTCCTCCTCCTTCTCCTCCTCTTCCTCCCTCTACTTCTCCTCCTCCTCCTCTTCCTCCCCCTCCTCCTCCTCCTCCTCCTTTTCCTCCTCCTCTCCCTCCTCCTCCTCCTCCTCCTCCTCCTCCTCCTCCTCTTCCTCCTCCTCTTCCTCTTCCTCTTCCTCCTCCTCTTTCTCCTCCTCTTCCTCCCCTTCCTCCTCTTCCTCTTCTCACTCTCCTCTCCCCCTCCTGCCATCTCTTCCTCTTCCTCCTCCCCCTCCTCTCCCTCTCCTCTCCCCCTCTTGGCATCTCTTCCTCCTCCCCCTCCTCCTCCTCCTCCTCTCGCTTTCCTCCCCCTCCTGCCATCCCTTCCTCTTCCGCCTCGCGCCCTCCCTCCTCGCCCACTTCCTCCCTTCCTCTCCGCCAGAGACGTTGCACACCCTCGCCGGGTGGACGGGGCGCAGCCTCACCCGATGCTCAGGATCTCATTCTGTTCCAGGACCGGTTCTTGGAG